TACCTCGGCCACGTCATCTCGGAGGCAGGCGTCGCCATGGACCCGGCCAAGGTGCAGGCCATTCACGACTGGCCAGTACCTCGCTCGGCGCGGGCGGTGCGGGGCTTCCTCGGCTTGGCGGGGTACTACCGCAAATTCGTCCACAACTACGGCACTATCGCTGCGCCACTCACAGCCCTCAAAAAGGACGGTTTCTCCTGGAATGAGGAGGCGGCCACGGCGTTCGAAGCGCTCAAGACCGCGGTCGCCACGGGTCCGGTCCTCGCCATGCCGGACTTCGCCAAGACGTTTGTCGTCGAGTGCGACACCTCGTCTCACGGGTTCGGCGCGGTGCTCGTTCAAGACGGCCACCCGGTGGCGTTCTTCAGCCGCCCCGTCGCGCCCCGCCATCGCGCCCTCGCCGCTTATGAGCGGGAGCTCATCGGCCTCGTCCACGCCGTCCGACACTGGCGTCCGTACCTGTGGGGCCGTCGCTTCCTCGTCAAGACGGACCATTACAGCCTCAAGTACTTGCTCGATCAGCGGTTCGCGACCATCCCCCAACACCACTAGGTGGGGAAGCTTTTGGGTTTTGACTTCTCCGTCGAGTACAAGCCCGGGACGGCGAACGCGGTGGCCGACGCTCTCTCGCGCCGCGACACGGAGGACGAAGGGTCCATATTGGCCCTGTTGGCCCCTCACTTCGACTTCATCACACGTCTCCGCCAGGCACAGATCACCGACCCGACCCTCGTCGCTATCCAGGACGAAGTGCGCGTGGGCTCCCGCGGGGCACCGTGGACGGTCGTCGACAACATGGTGCAGTTCGCCGGGCGCCTGTACATCCCCCCGGCGTCCCCCCTCGTTCAGGAGATCGTGGCTCGCTGTCCATGAGGATGGACATGAAGGAGTCCAGCGCACGCTGCACAGACTGCGCCGCGACTTTCATTTTCCTAACATGAAGCAGCTCGTGCAGGATTTTGTGCGTGAGTGCGCCACTTGTCAGAGGTACAAGTCGGAGCACTTGCACCCAGCTGGGCTCCTCCTGCCGCTGCCCGTGCCGTAGGGGGTCTGGACGGACATCGCCCTTGACTTCGTCGAAGCTCTGCCTCGCGTTCGGGGCAAGTCGGTCATCCTGACGGTGGTGGACAGATTCAGCAAGTACTGCCACTTCATTCCCTTGGCGCATCCGTACTCCGCCGAGTCCGTCGCACAAGCATTCTTCGCCGACATTGTCCGTCTACACGGCGTTCCCCGGTCCATGGTGTCTGACCGTGATCCGGTCTTCACCTCAACTTTCTGGCGCGAGCTCATGCGTCTGATGGGCACCAAGCTGCACATGACAACCGCCTTCCACCCCTAGTCAGATGGGCAATCGGAGGCCGCCAACCGTGTCATCATCATGTACCTGCGCTGCCTTACTGGGGATCGACCGCGCCAGTGGCTGCGATGGCTTCCGTGGGCGGAGTTTGTCTTCAACACCGCTTACCAGACGTCGCTGCGGGACACACCGTTCCGCGTCGTCTACGGCCGTGACCCACCATCCATCCGGTCTTATGAACCGGGAGACACGCGAGTGGCTGCCGTCGCCAAGAGCATGGAGGAGCGTGAGGAGTTCCTGGCGGATATTCGTTATCGCCTTGAACAGGCTCAGGCGCTACAGAAGAAGCACTACGACAAGTCGCACCGCGACGTGTCGTATCAGGTCGGCGACTGGGTTCTGCTCCGCCTACGCCAGCGTGCGGCTGCGTCACTACCCCAGGCGGTCACCGGCAAGCTCAAGCCTCGGTACTACGGTCCCTACCGCGTCACGGAGCTCATCAATGAGGTTGCTGTCCGCCTGGCTCTTCCTCCGGGAGCCCGTCTCCACGATGTCTTCCACATCGGCCTCCTCAGGAAGTTCAACGGACAGCCGCCGGATGCTCCACCGCCTTTGCCGCCCATTCACCATGGTGCTGCCGCTCCAGAGCCGGAACGCGCCCTCCGGTCGCGCCTAGCACGAGGTGTGCGCCAGGTCCTCGTGCAGTGGAAGGGGGAGTCGCCTGCCTCGGCTACATGGGAAGACGTGGAGCCGTTCGTCGCCAAATATCCGGCCTTCCAGCTCGAGGACGAGCTGCTCCTCAAGGGGGGGAGAGATGTCATGTGGGGACGCACATATGCCAAGAATAGAAGGGCCCGGGATGCCAGGCGTGCATCAGCACGCCAGGGCAGCAGCGCCGCCGCGGTCACCTTGGCAGGCGCCAGCCAGGGGTCGGTTTAGGTAATAGCTAGAATAAAGGAAAGAGATCCTATAATTTAGGAATGATTTGTTAGAGTCTTTCAAGGCTATAGCCTATAAGAGTCCTTGTAATCCATCATTGGAGGATAAGCAAGTTATTATTCATCTAATCTCTCTCTCGCTTTCCTCCAACTAAGCCTAGCCGGCCGAGGGGCAAAACCTCAGCCCTAGACGACAACGGCAGGAGACTACGAACTCCGTAGTCGAGGGCCAGCTAACCTAGGGCACGACGCCCTTGACAACGGTGGACTCCTTGCAATAGTACATGCTGTCATGTAGAAAGGACAATTCTCTTCTCATTGCACAATAACTCCACGAGGTTCATTTTGCAAAAAAACTATAATCTCTACCCTGCACATTAAGACTTGAAACCCCTCCTAAGTTGCTTCATATCAGTAAAGCATGGACCCTTGCAGAATTTGGGATGGATCAAGCTTGTTCATTGTACCATATCCTCACACCCCTTGGCTGCTTCCTCATTCCTTTTGTTCCCTACTTTCACAGCACCACCATCATCATCTGAATCTAAGCTGTCTCCATCTCCTTCACTGGGTGGATCTGACATAGCTCCTCCATCAGTTATCAGTAGAAACAACTTCAGTAGCATTTATAGCTTTCTTACATCTCCTTTTATTAGTCAGCGGTTTTGAGGAGGTTGCCTCATCGCACATGGGAGCATCCATGGGTTGCAAGTTTTCCTTGTTTGGTCCACCAACATCCTCCTTGACTTGGCTCTTTGGGACAAACAAATCTTCAATGTCTGTATCACCTTCACAATGTTCAGATGGGTCTGCACGACTGTTCTGCATCTCTACGAGGTGCCTCCTTATCTCATTCCTCTCCCAGAATCAAATCACTAAAATCCTCACATGGCTCCTCTTCGGACTCATCATTTGAAATGTCATCTTCCTGCTCAACTACAACATTCTAAGGGACAACACCTGGAACAGTCTGGTAGAATTTCACTGTCGAGACCTGGGACCACTTGCTTTCCTTTTCATCAGGACAATGCTTATTTTCCTTAGATCATCATAACACCTCATCATCTGTCACATCTGCGTCTGAAACAATGCTGCAAAGATTTTCTAAACTTTCTTCTACCATCCCTCTCTTGTAGTAAATGTAATCAACTGAACTACCCATCTTCTTCGCCATAGCCAACAAGTTGAAGAAACAAATCCAACCATGGTTCATTCCCCTGATCACCATGCCTGGATCTGTCACGGGCTCATCGCAGTACACCCTTTGAGCTCATCTTTCCTGAGAAAAAGCACCAAACAACCAATTTTAGGGAAACCCCAAGAATCTGCCACAAATTGATTCAACAAACAGGTGTAGCACATCAGCAAATCAGTACCCTAAAGTGGCTTTATTCACATTGGAACACAGAACAACAGGTATTAGCCCTATTTCATGCACAAATTCACCTTGCATCTCTTGAGTTATGGTAGAACCAGGCAAAAAGGGGTGACTGACCTGCTATTCCATGCGCTGCTCCCGCCGCTCGTAGAACCAGCGCCGCTGGAGTTCATCCCACCACCGAGGTCCATCACCAAGTCGAAGCTCGGCTTGCTGCGGTCCACTGCCTCGTCATGATCATTCGCCTTCTCTTCTAAGTTTGGGGCAAGATGGGGGTGCCACTAGGCGCACTCACAATGCTGCAACCTCACACACAGATGTTTAAGATCCCCCACCAGAAGTGCTTGCTTGCTGTGCTGCGAGCAGCCTGCAAGGCCACTGACCACATGAGCCGCCAACATGGATAGATGACGTGGCTTCTAGAAAAGGGCACTTTTAGTTGCTTGACACCGACAAGTGGAGCCCACGATGTCTGTAATGGAAGTTGCACAAAAGTTGGTAACCTCCTTAAGAATAGTTGCAGGTTTATGGTACATGTCAAAAAAGTTGTAGGTTTGTGAGTATTATATCAAAATAATTGTAGTTTTGTGAACTTTACTCTTAGATTACTGAACAATTTTTTAACATATATGTTGGTTGTGGTGATCAGTTTAGGGTCCAAACTATCTTTTATGCAAAGGGGGAAAATACAATCTTTGTTTTGGTTTCAAGCATGGTTCACTGATGCAACATCACAGACCATAGTATCTGGGCCACAACTTCGATATCACCTTGTTGTGATATTGGCCCTGTTTAGCAAAGCTCCAGCTCCAGAAAATCATGGATTTCTTGGAGCTACTCCTATCTAGCTCCAGAAATTCATGGATCTGGAGCTGTAGATGGATTAAAGGTATTTGATTAAGTCATTTTATTCTTATTTTGAATTTTAAACAAAGATCTAAAACATTTTATTTTGGCTTGCAAACTCAAAATCCAGCATGGATCTTGGGAGCTGGAGCTTTGCCTTGTGTAAAATCACTTTATCACCTCTGTAAAAGAAAAGTTTTCAGAATCTCTTATGGAACCATAGTTACTGCCTTACTGGTGTTGTACGACTGTAGTTGCAGTCCACTCGTGGTACCAATATTATCTGTTTGGACGTTGGAGCTTATTCTATCTTAAGTGACTAATCATGAGAATGCATGTCGGTTAGGTAGGCTATGGTCTTTCTGACATACTCTGATATAAGGTAGTGTGAATATCATTCTTTGTTTTCTCCTTCGCCTTAGCTTCACCACAAATGTAGGGTGTATATTGTCACTGGTTTTTCTGCCAATCCCTTTACGAAAAGTAAATTCTAGGTCGATGCATTATTAAAATGATGAAATATCTTGTCTGCTTGCAGGTGGTGTAGGTTTCCGAACCGTGGAAGAGGCTCTGAAGTACGATTTCCCAGACTTGAGCAAGGTTGGCTATGATGCAGAGAATTGTTACGCGTGCACTGCAAGAGTGAAGCACCCAAAGGGGACCTTGTATGTTGGAGGACATTTTGCCGATGTTAGACAGTATTATGGTTTCAGTGACTGATGTTTGGGTTACCTGTTCGGCAGGACTTATTTGCAGCTGGTTGTGGCTGTTTCATAAAGTTCCGGCCAACATTTATTCTCTTCCTTTTCTTTTCACTCTGTTGTTTTCAGATTTGAAAGGCACATCGAAGGAAAGCATGCATATAGTTTGACAAAGTAAGAGAAGGTTTTTGGGGTGCATTGCTTGTTAAGATAGTTTTCAGTTTTGTTGTCAGATTTGGAAGACACGTCCATGGAGAGAATGCAGAAAGATTACAAGGTATTAAAAGGTTATTAGTTATATAAGATAGTTTTTATAAGGCACTGTTCGGCTTATCTCATATTCGGCTTGCTCGGCTTCTTTTTTCAGTCGGAACAGTATTTTTCTCTCACAACAATTCAGCCGGAACAGTGTTTTTCAGTCAGTTTCAGCTAAGTTTTAGACCAGCGAACGGGCCTAGAAAGCACATCCAAGGAGCAAAACAGTCCTGTGATGCCCACTGTTCTCCCCTGTGAAACACAAAACAGATAGCATACAAAGTGTGCAAAAGAGATGAAATGTGTACTGACATGGTTAAGATGAATACAATTTAGGTTGAAAACGGACGGAAACGGGCGGGAAAACCCCCTTCCTGTTTCCATTTCTACATTTCATCATTGGAAACGGGATCGGGATCGGAAAGGCCGGGATCGGGTGCGGGAGCGGAAAATACGGGTGTTCGGAAACGGATAAATATTGGCGGAAAGACGACGGAAACGGACGGAAACCGAGAACTTAAGTCGGAATGACGATCACATGTCAATATCATAACACCAGTTCCTGCACATGTCAATATCATAATTCATATCGCATACTTAATCACATATCAATATGCTGCACAGTATGCCACTAGTGCTGCAAGTAACCAGTCAAGCACCAACGCAATGCAGTGCACTACTGCCACTGCTGGAAAAGGCAATATGCCACGGCTAGTTGACTACTGCCAGCATGCCACTGCTAACGCTAACAGCACTAGACCACCAGACACTAGTGCAGTGCATCACGCCACCACTGCTAGCAATCACAAAGTATTGTCAAGAATTCAAGAGCACCAGCCAACTACAAAATATTAGAAATGACCAAACAACATTTAATAAGTTTACAAATCACATAATCACAACCACAAGGAAACATCCAGCACAATAGTCCGCAACATTTAATAAGTCCACACATCACAAAGTTTCTACCACAAGGAAACAAAGCTCTGCAGTCACAGCTCACCACCATCTTCAATCATGGCATCTGGATCACTTATCACATCTTTTTCCTACAATTTTCAGCACATATGTATTCATGATTAATTGCAAACATGTAGCTATGTTATTTTTCTCTTGCAAGAATGGTTACTGAAACAATAACCAAGACAAATAAACAAATACCTCATCATCTGAGTTCACAGAAATAGTTTCTAGAGGTTTGAAATCAGCCACAATTGAAGGAATAGATTTAGAATATGAAAAATGACAAGTCAAGACACATATGCATCAGTACAATACATCACATATATTTGGAAAATTCTAAATGAACAAATAAGCCAATTAATACCTTTTCTTGCAGCATGTATCCGGTCTTTGGTGCAGATCAGCGCTTGTACTATCTCAGGGTCAAGACGATTACAATATGGATCAATTATCCGGCCAGCTTCGCTAAATGCAGATTCGGATGCAACCGTGGACACTTGAATGGCCATCATATCACGAGCTATTTGTGAAAGGATAGGGTATTTGTCTGTATTGTTCTTCCAATATGATAAAATATCAAACGGATTTTGCTTCAATAGTGGCTCTGCCATGTATTTGTCTAGCTCATTTGTGTCACTGCTATCAGGCCCATGATCATCATATAAGAAGCTCTCAAGTTCATCATCTCTATTTTCAACTAGAGGATCCGTTGGACTAAGATGTTCATTTTGATTCACATCACTCTTATTCTTTGAACTAGAGCTAGCATAAAATTGGTACAAGTTCTTCACAACAGTAAGAAACTCATCAAGATGAATCTGATAGTAGTCACCATAGAACTTTCTCATGTAGTACTCTAAAAGCTTCTTTATGTACCTAGGATCAAGAAAGCAAGCTACTGCAAGACTTATGCTAGAACAAGTCCAATACTTTTCAAACTTTTCACTCATAGCAATGGCCATTTTCTTAATAGTGAAGTCTGCACCAAGACACCAATTATCAAGCAACTCCTTTATCTCACAAAAACCTCTATAGAATAGATTTGCAGTAGGATATGATGTACCAGAAAGCAATACAGTAAGGTCATAGAACTTTTTCAAGCACTGAAATACAGTTGTAGCCATTTTCCATTCATCATCATTAGGAGTAATTTTCATATACTTACTTTGATTTGATGTCTTGAGTCGAATGAAAGCATCTTTGTAGTACAAGGCATCCTTAAGCATCAAGTAGGTTGGATTCCACCTAGTTGTAACATCTAGTTGAATTCCCTCTGTTGTATCCAACCGACACTAAGTAGCACACTTCATAAGCTCTTCCCATTGTAAGGGAGAACCCTTCACAGTTAGTACCAAGGCTTTAATCTTCTTAAGTGCTTTAGAAATAACAGCCAGCCCATCTCTTGCAACCAAATTAAGTATGTGACAACCACATCTAATATGAAAAAATATCCCATCACACACTAAAGAAGCTTTTCCATTCACTTGGAGATCAGCAACAATATCAGTGACTGCCACAAAATTATTTGATGCATTATCTAAAGTCAAGGCAAACAACCTCTGCTCAACAAACCACTTCACCATGGTTTCAATAAATGACTCTGACAACTTATGACCAGTATGTCTACCTTCCATATGAAAGAAACCCACAATTCTCTTCTGAATACGCCACTCATCATCTATCCAGTGCAACGTGACACACATATACCATTTGTTTTGACATGATGTCCACATGTCCATGGTTGCACTAAAGCGACATTTAACTGTCTTCAAATAAGCATATAACTTATCCTTTTCTGTTTCATATATGTCCATTATATCCTTTCTACCAGTGACACTAGACTTGAATGTAAAGCTAGGACGCAAGGAGTTGATGAAATCAACAAAGTAGTCATGCTCAACAATGTTGAATGGGTACTCATGCATGATTACTGCCAAATAGAACTTCTTGAGACTTGTCTTATAATCATACCTATAAGGAACAACAGTGCTAACATCTTTCCCAAGGTCTTTTTCAGCCCTGAGTTGCATCTGTCCTTTGATAATACTATGACATGACTTCAAATGATTACAAAATGCATTTGTTCCATTGTTGGACTCAGCCCTGTACTTATGCTTGCAATGTGGGAAATTGCAATGGCCCCACAGTTGCTCATACTTCTTGCCACCCTCCTCTATGACAATAGTGTGCTTGGTGAAATACTTCCTCACAGCAGAGGTGCACCTCTTCGCCCTCTTTGATGACCCCACAACCTCCTCTTCATCATCGTCACCATCAAGGGCCACTATATCTGCAGCAGCAACAGCACCTGGTTCTTGGGTACTAGGGTTAGTGTTACCCCCATCAACTTCAGTTCCAGGTCCACTGCCACCACCAGTGCTAGTGCCAACCACTTGATCTGCATTCTTTGTTGCTGAAGATGAGGCTGATACACTGTGTGGTACACTCTGACTCTGACTGCCAACTTCACTTGCTTTCCTCTTGTTGCCTACCAAAAAAATCAACAATAATGCAAGTATGCAACTTGAGTCTATTTGTGTGCTTCTGAGTCTGACATCTCAACAAGTGACTAAGTGAGACTGTGAGAGACATACCTGCTGCTGCTGAAATGGATCCGGATACACTGGTGCTGCCTTTGACAGAAGATGGTGGCGGTGGTGACGCCGGCAGGAACATGGTGCCCAGCCCCAAGTATTTCTCGGGCAGCATGGAGGCGGACCCGAGACGTCCAGCTCCAGCGCCTCCAGGACACGAGTCACGCGACATCAGGAGGAGGAGGCAACCGTCGGGCGGCGGGGGGCCGTGGGGAACGACTAGCGACGGGGGCCGCGGGGACTGGCGTGCGGCGGGGGCCGCGAGGATCGGCCGCCGGCGGTGGCCGCTGGGGTCGTTGGGGCGCCGCGTCGGGTACTCAGGGCTCAGGCTACAGCGGGGGTCGGGGTGGCGGCCGTGAGGAGACTCGAGAGTCAAGACAGAGGAGTGAGGAGAGGTAGGGTTAGAAGTTTTGGGCTGGATGGGTCTTTACTACTATTATTGGGCTTCACCCGTATTTGAAGAATCCGGGTCTTTTCCGCTCAAATACGGGAACCCGAGAAAACGGGCGGGAAAAGAGCTCTCCCGTTTCTGTCCCAATCCCGCCGACTTCCATCCCGCATCCCGTCCCGTTTCCGGATTTTTCCGAGAATACGGAAACGGGCGGGTCAAATGTAGAAATCCGGGTGGGTCGGGTCGGGAATTATCCCGTCCGTTTTCAACCTGAAATACAATAGATCAAGAATTACTATTGCTGCTTACCTAAATCTATTAACAATAGTGACGAACTGATAATCCATTTGGATCACAAGGTATATATATCCTGAGCTGGGCCAGCTCCATCAAGGGCGCGGCAAAGCTACGCCTATGTTTCTATTTTCTTCTATGAATTCTTTTGATATCTGCTCTCATGCAAGATACTCTTTATCCAAATGGAATCCTGAAATTTCCCAACCAAATACCCATGCTACAAAACAGTATTCTTCCCTCCACTCGTTCTGCATACTTTCTTTTTCGCTTGAGATGGTGTTCTTGTACGAACATGTTCCTCTTCATCCCCTGAGTTGGTACAGTGAATCAAATAGCAAAAAAGACAAACAAGTTCAGACTTCGCGGTAACAGAGGAAAGACGGAAACAACATGAGACTAGGGAAAGCAATGTAGATGAAGTGGCTGGGTTAAGTACCTTCAGGTTTGGATGAGCTGCCGATGATGTTAGTCTCGGAGTTCTCGGGTTCTCTTGTGGAGAACACATACCATTTCCTTGGA